TGTATCTGCTCTCAGGGAAAAAAATATTTAGTCCTTCAGCAGTAGATAGGATACCTTGTTATAGTGAGGTTACAGAAAGATTGATGCCTTTGAATACCAGCCCTTTCTTCCTTCAATACTCACACATTTCAGATTCTACCATGCCTAAATCTATTCAAATTACAAAACAAATACTGCAGCACAGCAACAGGCTACTGTCTGAAATAATCCTTTGCTATGAATTAATTGGACTGTTCTTAATGGTGTCTCAAAACCAATCCCACCCATTCAAGATGCTGTGCATGAACTAATACCCCCATACTAACAACACTATGTACAGCAGAATTTTTGGGAATCTGAAGCTTGTTAGGATTGGTTGATTTTACACTAATATAACTATCACCCAATCACCTCACAGCCAGACTGGATCTCTTCTGCAGATGGATGAGACTCATCAAGTGTTGTGGATTCACTGCTGTTTTCTGACATACCTGAAAACCAAACAGGTTTGGCATGCATTAATTGAAGTGAAAGGAGCTGGATGTTGCACCTCACAGAAACCAAAGCAGGCTTTCAGAAAATATTTCTTTTACAAGTTCTGCTAAAGCAAAGTGAAGCTTCCTTCTTTTGATGGTGACCAGGCCTTCAACTCTCCAAAAATCTAAGAGGGATTAGGAATACAAACTAGTGTAAACTTCCACTGCCAAAGCAACCTTTCCTCACAGACAACTAAACTTGCAACATAAAACCTTGGAAGTCAAGGATCAAGGAAACAAGGTACAGGGTACTTCAGGCAACATATATCCTGCCACTTGTAATAGTACACTGACTGTATCCTACCATTGCAAAGATCACCATTTTGTTAAGGCATAAGATTTATCCAAACATTGCAAGATCACACTAATGCTAAGCCACTGAAACTTATTAAGCTATTAAGTCTGTTATCTTTACTAGAACAGAATCCCTTTCATTTTAGCCTCAAAAATATCTCAGCTACAGAAGCAAAGTTGTTAACACTGAGCACATGCAAAAGAAACCAACTCTGTGAATACAGTGATCATGAAAGATTAATTACATACACAATTTTATCTTATGTAAGGAAAGTGTCTAAATTTGATTCCAAATAGCTGGTAACTACAGGTGATACCACAAATCATTCAGCCGTTTGAGAGATGGAGACAACCAATCATTAAAAATTAATTAATCTGCCAGTGTAGCATACAATCACACATGACTTCAGTTCATTAAGTCTTGCACCATTTCATACATGTTCAGACACATAGCAGATTAAGAAAATTTATAAAGATATTACTATTTGTGTTTATATTGTATTTCAAATTCCTAAGATATAAAGCATTCTAACTAAAGCAAGTAATTAATAAGGTAAGCAGCTCACATAGCAAGGGAAATAAAATAAGGACACAAAGGCTGAGAAACTGAATCACCTAGATCATATAGATTATATTACATTGGATAACCTATTCTTTATTTTGGAAAACCAAATACATAAAATATTTTCTCTAGAAAAACAGTTCACTCAGGGCTACCACTGAATTAAATTGGATTTTTCTAGGATCAGTATAAAATTCCCTTTGAAGTCATTAAGAAATAAGTTTAATATCCTTATACAGCTTTCTTCATTTTTCAAATTTCTTTTGAACATGGAAGACTGTACAGCAGAAATGCTGTTTGCCCGCCCACATGGTCCTGTCCAAACTCTGCTTGTGGCTGAAAACAACCTCTGTGCTTAACAGCTTATTTCTGAGTAGCTAAAACAATCACATTATAGAATAGGACAATAAGTGTTATTTCCTTGCTCCACTTGTTAAGCAAAAAGCTAAATTCATCTTGTGGTAGAGCCTTCATTAAGGCAGTCTGTTCTTCAGTTCTACATCAGTGTTCCTGGAGTTAATATTTGTTCATCACATACAAGTCTATGTACCATGATAACACTGTTCTAAACTATGAACTACTATAGGCAAAAAACCATTTTTGATAAATTTAAGAACTTTTGATAGATTTAAGAACCTAGGGGCAAGAGCAGTCTCACAAATTCATGTAGAAGACACTGGACACTGCATAAAGGCAAATAATTAATTTTTAAAACCCAAATGAATTCAAGATTTGTGTTAGATCACCCCTCCATTATTAATTTTTTGTAGTGCTCTTTTCCTACAAGTAGTGCTAAAAATTTCAACACAGCTCTGCAGGATCACAGCGATCAATTTTAAAACATGAGAAGGCAAAAAAATGTAAATTAAAGGTGGCTTTCATAAAAAGTTCAAATGCACGTTCAAATTTAACTACAGAATTTCCTGATTACTGCTTCTACAGCAAAAAAATGGGGATGTAAACATCAAATACTGGATGCAAGGGTGAAAACTTTCTACACCTTCACCAAGATTCAGAAGTGAAGGCACTCATGCGAAATTGTGGTAATCACAACATCTACCTACCAGTAAGTTCCACTAAAGAAATGCATACAGACTTTAGCATCTCTGTAGTTCTTGCAGGTGCCAGACAAAGGGCTGTTCTTTATAAGAAGCTGCTAATCCCCAGTACAGCACGGATCCTGTTATCCAAGGCTTGGTTTGTTTCTTCACTAAAGCAGCCACGCACAACTTTATAACACATTAGGGGACTGGTGTACCAGGGCATTGGCTACTATCTGCTGCAATAGAACAACTCAGAGAAATTCTACTTGGAAAAACATGCCTGATCCATATTCTGACAAGAACTGAAAACCTGTCCACATCACTCCTGCCCTTCTGGGTTCTCTTTTACCCCACTATACCAGTTCTGCAAATCCATACAAATACTGCATCACAGCAGAACAGAAGACACAGGACTAGACTAAGAATCATTCCCCCCATGGTGAAGCTACCTTAAATGCATATTGGATTACAGCCTCAGTAATTTCAGGTTCTGCTCATCATAAATAAAACCACATGATTTTTGAGCCCTGGGGATTTAAATATCACTTCTTCAACTGGCAAAGTAAAAAGCAAAACAAAGCAAGAACATAAGCTTCCTCTAGAATGGAGACATAAAGAGATATTTAACCATTTAAAATTAATGGTTATAAGAGTATACTTATGTACTTCTCATTAAAAAGGCAAATTCATATTTCTTATTCATGAAAATATGAAGTTAATGTCATCAACAATAAATTAATTTTGAATAAGAAGTATATTCTTCACATACTTATGTTGCTTAGGTAAATGATTGATGGTCTCAGAAATAATAAGCATGGGATTGTCAACCATCAGATCTGCTTTTCTTACCAAGATGCACTGGTTCCTTCACTTAATTTTCTCCTAAATTAATTGCCAGTAAGGCAACAGCAAGACAGCTTCTGTCTAAAATGAAAAATGAAGTTTATTACACACTTTTATTGTTGTCTTACTACTTAACTGCATAAAGAATGTAAAATTTTGTATCACTGCAGAAAATCCCAGTGCCGGTAGAAAAATGATAATTTTAAAGACTATTTCAATTTCTAACTAAGAATACTTTCACTAATGCTTGTCAAGATAGGGATTAACTACTTTCTAAAAAAAGACTGTAAAGAACTGTATTAAACATTTCCTGCTGCAATCACACCATAGTTTCCTCTTAATGCTCTTGAATTTCCTGGCTGCCCCACTTGCAAGATCGAATTATGCTTGGGAGTCAGAAGACATGAAGGAGATGAAGACTGGAGAACAGGGCTGCTGCTGACTTTCACACTCCCCATGCTACGTCAACCCGGCCCTAAACACTTTAATGCTCAGCTCGTCTCCAGATTAGCTACACCATGGGCTCCCCTTATGGTTTCAACTTCTACCAAATCAGAAAAAAGCAGCTGATCAAGCTACTGCCCCAGCTTCCAGTTTTTCCAGTCTAACACTCTTCTGTGCTCCTTATTCCTGGCATTTTAACTGTGTACGTACAGACACGTATAGACAGACATACATAAACATACACACGATTCAGAAAGTTTAGGAGTTGCATTGATCAAATTACATCCTCCTCCAGCCCCGCAAAAAGAACCCTTCTGTTATCTTCTCTAGAGAATCAACTCTGAGGTAACAGAGCCACAGACTGCAAAGTGATAACTGCTGGCTACCTTTTCCACCGAGCCATAAAAAGTACACGTGAGAAATGGAAACTACATCCTGGGCTGGATGTCCAGAATGATCCCCTCCAAAGACTTTCATGCAAGATTAAAGGCTATTAGTGGGTTTCAGTTAAAAATAATCTATTAGAGAGGTACTATAAGAAATACTGCAAGAACACCTCTCGTTTGGAGACAATACCACATGCAACACCTGCTTGTCACACACCACCAAAGCGTTTCCACGCTTTGAGAACAGTAAGCAAAACACAAATTGGCACACTTAAAACAGTAATTGCTAGGGTGTGGAATAACTCCCAGGGGCACGAAATCTACACAGCATCTACAGCTTTCTTCCTCCACCAACACACCGCTTCCCTTTCTCTCTGGCGGAGCCCGCCTGCCGCCTGGCTCGGGGGCTGCCCTGCCGTCCTGCCGCGCAGCAGCCCCGGCGCGGGGCCACGAGCCGGCCCGACCCCGACCCGCCGGGCGCGGCCGCTCCCGCGGCGGAGCGCGGCCGCTCCCGCGGGGTGACACGTCGGACGGGCCGAGCGGAGCCGCGGCCCGGCCCGCCCCGAGCCCGGGCCCAGCGCCCGGCCCGGGCCGCCCCTCACCTGCCGGCGGCAACGCTGCGGCCCCGGGGCGTCGTGTTGCGGGGGACGGGAGGGCAGGACGGAAGGAGGGAAGGGGGGACGGAGGAGGCCGGGCGGGGCGGCGCCGGCGGCCCCTCTCAAGCTTTATTTTCTTCCTTCTCCGGTGGCAGCAGGAGCCGGAAGCGCCGGGCCGGAAAGGGATGGCGGCGGCGGCCTCTCTAGGCCGTCGTGTCTATGGTCGCGGCCATGGCAACCACCGGCGGCACCGCCCGGGAGGCGGCCCCGGCCCCAGCCCCGCCGGGGGCCGCGCCCGTGCGCTGGGGCCGCCGGCCGGGACAGCCCGAGCGGCAGCGGCCGAGCCGCGGCGGCGGTGGGCGCGGGTGGGCGCGCCCGGGAGACGCTGCTCGGGGCCATGGCAGAGGCTCTGCCCGAAGCCGCGGTGAGGAGGAAGAAAAGCGTAACTATCGAGGAGAAAATTGACATCATAAGCGCTGTGGAGAGCGGCAAGAAAAAGGCGGATGTTGCAGCCAAGTATGGCATCAAAAGGAACTCCCTGTCTTCGATTATGAAGAATAAGGAAAAAGTTTTGGAAGCCTTTGAAACCTTGCGGTTTGATCCTAAAAGGAAAAGACTGAGGACTGCTTTTTATGCCGACCTGGAGATGGCATTGATGAAGTGGTGCAGAATTGCAGAGTGCCTGAATGTGCCGGTCAATGGCCCTATGTTGCGCCTCAAGGCGAACGATTTTGCCCAGAAGCTTGGACACAGTGATTTTAAATGCAGCAATGGCTGGCTCGATCGTTTCAAGTCGAGGTATGGTCTAGTTTTCAGAGCTCAGCCTGTAGAAGCAGCTGCTCCTCCTGCAGTGGGTGCTCCAACTCTTTGGTACCGAAATGTGCTTCCTTGTTATTTAAACGATTATCAGGCAAAAAATGTGTTTTACATACAGGAGACTGGGTTGTTATATCAGATGTTACCACATAACACGTTTGCATTTAAAGGGGAAACTTTTTCTGTAAGTGAACAAAGCAAAGAGAGCATCACTGTAGTGATGGGTACAAATATGGATGGCTCTGAGAAACTCCCACTGCTCATTATAGGAAAAAGCAAAAGTCCACTCTCTTTCAAAGATGTGAAATCACTGCCAGTGGATTATGAAGCAAATGATAAGGCGTGCATGACTTCAGGAATCTTTGAACAGTGGATGCAGAAACTCGATCACAGGTTTCAAGCACAGCAGCGCCGAGTGGTTATTCTCATTGATTCTCTCCCAGCTCACACAGAAGTAAAGAACCTGAAGTCTGTCAAATTAGTGTTCTTTCCTCCAGACTCTTCTTCATGTATAGCTGTGAAAGAAAGGATTATCAGAAGTCTGAAGGTAAAATACAGGCACTGTCTTATAAAGAGATTTGTTGACTGTGTAGCAAATAATAAAGAGTTTATGCTGACCCTTCTTGATGCAATTGAGATTCTGTACCTGTGCTGGAGGGAAGTAACACCAGAGACTATTACAAAAAGTTACAATGGAGTAACTTTCAAATTAGAAACTGAGACAAAGGATAATGACAATGAGGTTGAAAGTGATTTTGATTTGATTGCACATGCACGGGCAGCTGGAGTAGAGTTTCCAGGCGGTTTGTCTTCGGAAGAATACGCAGCTCTAGATGATGGCTTAGTAGCTTACGAAGTGCCCACAAACAGCGAAAGCACGTGTGCCAAAGAAAGTGCATCAGATAAAGCTGAGATATTTGTTGGTAATGAAGATAAGGATGAAGGTGATCAACTTCAGGGAGCTGAACAGCATTTACCAGATAAAGCTGAGATATTTGTTGGTAATGAAGATAAGGATGAAGGTGATCAACTTCAGGGAGCTGAACAGCATTTACCATCCAAAAATGAGGCTTTGTGTGCTTTAGATACCCTTCAAAAGTTTCTCAGAAGTCAAGACACACACGATTCTCTTTACGATTTCCTAGCTGACTTGGAGAATTTTATTCAACATGCAGCATGTGAATAAATATTTTAGCAAAGTGGGAAAGCATGTAATTGGAAAAAAAAAGAAATTATATAATCAAAGATAGCTTAAAAACAACCATTGCTGAAATGTTCTCTGGTATCTTTTGCTCAGCTGCCTAGATGAACTTAACAAAACTATGAAAAAGGGCCATGAAGAAATTTTCCACAAAATCAGGAGCAAATAACATATATTTGAGGTGAAGAGAGGGAGTAAGCTGAACCCTAAAAACTCTTTCTACTGCAATAAGTACAATGGAGGCAAAATAAATTCTTTGAGCAGTTTGGTGCACTCAGGATAAACTGTTGACCACTTGGAATTCTTTCTTCAAAGAAACTAGTACTTCTACACATCAATATTTTCACCAGTGTTTTTGGAGTTTTGACAGTAAATATTTATCACCTTGGTGGTTTTGATACATAAACACAAAATTGAATAACACAGAAAATACATGGTTAGATTCTGAGAAGTAAGGCATTTTTAAAAGAAATATTTTTTTGCCCTTCATCGAGAATTCTGGCCATCTTTACTCTTGCAGCAGATGATGAACAGCAGAAAGTTACCACAGCTTTGAATGTGTTGTTTTGTTTCCTTAAAACTGTTTGAATGGCATAATCATTTATCCAAGAGTCAAAAGACAAACAAGCCTTTATTTGGTCTTTGAAGAGGTCAAAAAGGAAGGTCATTCTCTCCTTTTCAGCCTTTTTGGTGCATAGATTTGATGTAGGGTTTTTTTGTGCAACTCCATTAATTTCTACAGTAAATTCAGAAAAAGAACCCCAGTATCTGGAATGAAAACCTCACTGAGCTCTTGTTTTATTTTCAGTACTTGGAGGCTTTGCTGTTGGATTCAATGCACTAATGTGGTTTATCACTACAAGTCCCATTAATAAGGGTGCTGCTTGCATGATTGCAGTGCAAAGTTGTGTAAATCACAGTACATTTACATGTCTTTGAGTGTGCATTTCAAACAAGGTAATCATATCAGAGCCAAAACCCACAGTGTATATGACCTTCCAGCTTTTTTCAAAACTTTCCATATCTATACATTTCATTTTTATCAAAATTTGGATACAATAATTTCTCTAATTTAGAGGAATAGTTTTCTAATTTAGAGGCCCTTTAGGAAGCCTGCGTAATGAAAAAATCTACTATGCTGCCTAAAATTAAACCATGAGAAAAAAATCTCATGCATATGTGAATCTTCAGTTTTAAATAAATAGTTTGGCTATAGCTTTGTTTATGCTTTTTTTCTGGTGTAGAACAGTTTATGCATTTTCATTATTGAGAAATCATTTCAGAAAATGTATCAGATTATTGGAAGACAGTGAAAATATTAGGGTTGGTGAGAAAATACTTTTGGCTGTAAGAACATTTTACTAGAACTCCTTCACAAAAAAACCCCACAAACTTCTGGTTTCTTGTTGTGAAATATATTATGTGAATTCCATCCAAAGGATATTCTGATTACTTAAGAAATTTCTGTTGAAATCCCAATACATAAAGCTCTACATGGAGATTTATAGTATCTGTGAAAAAGGTATTCCTCTGAATGATCTGTTCTAGGTATTTATTATTTTAAAGTACAGATGCAAAATCTTTTAAATTAACAATCTGTGTCACATTCTTCTTGCTTAAATACTTTAGAACAAGTACTTCCAATTCTGACTAAGCTTATTTGAAGTTCATCTAAATCCCATAGGCATCTGTAGATAGTTTTCCTATAGTAATCTTTAGATTTAAAATCTATTTATTTGCAACAGCTTTTCCTGATAAAGGCAAGTTTAGGAAAAAGTTTCTCTTATCTGTATAGTAAATATGTAATTTGTTATGATTTGATTCCATGTGGCCCTCAGTGGCCTGGGTTCCAGATAAAGAAACTGTTTCCTTCTGAGAGAATTCAGAGTGTGAAAGGTTGGATCTGAATAAGAAAGACTTATGTATGTAAGCAGCAAATCTTGATTAAACAAGGGTTCACTCTACAAGAAGTGTAACTTTTGCAAGAAGAGGTTGTAAAATCAGGAGATGGGAAGTAACATTGTTGGCTGGAAAGGAAGGAAGTGAACTACTGAGTCTTGTCATACTCCCTCATGAAAGCAACAGGAAGGATTTACTAATTTGGCCTGGACTTTGAAGGTGAATTGTGAAACTTGCTTTAAAAACCATACAGCCCATCAAAGTCATGTATCTTTAGTGAATTTATGACTTTTTCCTTGCCTCCTAGTTCATTCTGAGAAACCAAACTAAAATGTACTCACTGGAACTGGTTCTGTAAGTCAGACACTTTATATTCTAACACTATAGCTTTCAAAATTATTTAGGAGCCCAAAAATTTCTCTTCACTTGGATTTTAGTCACATTTATAGTGAGTGAAAATGAAATCCATTCTGAAGTTATTTTTTCAGGTGTTTGTCAAGGGGAGATGCAGACTCCCAGATCCAAAATACAAACAGTGGGAAAGGAAGCAGTGTGCTGTGTAAATGTTTGTCAGTTTAGCCTGTGCACACAGTTTGAGCTGGAGATTTCTTTACATTGTCTGGGTAAACCACCAGGACCAGGCTTTTTACATCTTGGGGTGGTATCTTTTAGAGGGAGAGGAAGAATAAAGCTTTAGATGGCATCGTATTTAAAATTAAGAACCTTTTCCAGAAAAGGCAGGTAAGTAAGGCTGTTGTTTGTTTTAATACTTTAATATTAATATGGAAACAAGGTGCATTTTCTCTGTAGCTTTTCTGCTTGGTGTTATGGTTAGATAGTAATTATGTTCTTCAGTATCAAGTCAGTGAGGTTGCTTTCGGTAACCTAAAAGAGATTTCTAGAAGTGGGAACTGAAAATATGAAGTTTTAAAAATATATCTGATGTCTAGACAAGGCCAAAATACAAAAAAAAATATTTTGAAAGTATGATATAATAAAAAACATCCTAAGATTCATTCTTGAGATAAGTAATATGTAAAATAAGTATGCTCTTCAAAAATGCATGGGTTTTTGAAAACTGTAAGAAATATTACACTGTGATTTTTTTGTGTGTTTGTTACTATGTGTGCAGTTTTGGATACCTTTCAGGTCTGTAAAATTACATCCTCTTTTAAAACTGTTGCCAAAAGAAAGTTTGCTCTCCTGCAATGGTAAAAGGGAATAACAACTTTTTGCGCCCTTAGGCAAAAATGGAAGAGAGGAGGCAGTCAGGGATCTATAGGAGAGCAATCCATGTGTGCCTGTATATCCAAGATTTGTGACATTTTTATAGCTAAGCAATCATGGGAGTAAATGAGTTGATGGTTTCACATTATTACACAAATCTTGAGAATAATACCCTCAAACACACAGAGTATTAAGTGATTTTAAATTTTATGTGCAATATTTTTGTAAACTTAAGTTAAATTGTAACATGAGAATATTAGTAAAATACTTCCAAGTTTTTTTGGTGGCTGTGTTTATTGAAATGGTAGAGTAATATTGGCCTACTCAAGACTTACCTGAAATGTATGGTGACTGGGCAATCATGGAATGTAATGACAGTGTTTAATGTTATTTTATTCCTTTAATATCAATAAAAGCTGGTGCTTCCTGGTTGTGGGAGGCATTTGTTAAATGAAGGGTTTGCAAAGTTCGCATTGGGAATTGAATGCTGCTGTGGCCAGAGAAGAGTTTTTATATTTATGTAAGGAAGCTGGTATTTGTATCTAGATGTTGTAATAGGTCTGTTTTGGGGGACCCTTCCTTAAAAATCAGAACAAATCAAACTGAAATTTTTGCAATGGGATGAGTGACAGCATATTTCTGTCAATACATGCTTTAACAACAGAAAAAAATATTTGCAACAGATGAAAATATAAAAACTTGATGTCTGCCAGCCTGATCTTACACACAGCCTTTATGCTGGTAAAGCAGTGTGGTATAGACATGTGATAGCTTTTTCCTGATACAACTGCACATCATTGGTTTATAGAAACAGGAATTCAGGTGTAGCTCACTTCCCTTCTGGTAGCTCAGTTACTTTATTTGAGCTGAATTTTCTTCTTTCAAATGTTGCTGTTTGGTTTGTTCCAAATGTTAACTGCATTGGTCTAGTTAAAACCATACAACATCTGGTTTAAGACAGAGTGGGGAAGCCAGTAGTGTCTTGTCAACATAGCTGTGTCACCTCTGTTCTTTGAGCAGAATGGAAAAGTGTAAACTGCAAATTAGTGCCATAAGTAAAGTAAACAAATAGCACACTGGATTACCAAATCTGTTGAGTGAGAAGGTGCCGTATTTTTGACAATTTTTAAAATGGCTTTCTATGTTTTACAATATTTCAGCTGAAAGTCACATTTTTCCTAAGCTTTCGTGTCATGCTACCTCTGCCACAACATTGCAGCTTTGTGCATGAATAGCACCAAGGGGAACAGGTCATTCCTATCAACACATAGGTAGCTACAATCCGTGTTGAGTTGTCAGCCTGCCCACAGGTAGTGGCTGTGTCACTGGGGAGGTGAGTTCCAGAGCTGGTTTGCATCTTCCCCTTCCATGCTTGCGTAGCTCTATGTGCTGTGCCAGCACTTGGCTGTTAATCACCAAGGTAGTGACTCATCTGTCTGAGAAAGTTGTGGTCTGATGAGGCAGTGCAACCTCATCCCAAATGCCAAATGAAATAATTCATGGTTTATTGTTTGAAGACTGTGGGACCCAGGATTCCTGAGGAGGGCATTAAGATGTCTTAGCTCTCCTGGTCCCTGCTCAGTAGAAAGGCTGAAAAAAAGTTCTTGCTCTGGAGAAGTTCTTACAAAACACTCGCTATTCAAGAACTACTTTGACATGTGGTAACTAGTTGTTGGATTGCTCATCTGAAGTCACCCATTTCTCTTGAGACATGTGCTGCGGGGCTGCCTCCGTATCATGCATACAAGGAGACAACCTAATGAAAGCGCTGCTTTTCTTCTAGTGGCATTGGTGCCTCCTATTTCTAACCTGTATAAATGATGCAGTATGATACTTTGCTATTCAAAATTCTATTTCTTTCCCCTTCCACCTTTTGTTCATCCATCGCCTGTATCATTTTATATTCACTGATATCCTGACAATTCTAATGTTAATGTTAGGATTGTTGGCCTAACTGTCTGGCAAACTGCTTCCCTCTTTACACTCCCTATTTCTAATATTATCTTTTGCAGATCATATTTTTGAACTGTCTCATGTATCAGCTAGTATAACCCTCTTGGTACACATCCTCGTGATCGTAGGTCCTAATTTCTCCATTGCTGTATTTAGTGACTTTCCCAAATCCTTGCTTCATTTAACTGAAAACATTTAGTATATCGTTATTTCTTTTTGTCTTTTCCATTTGTAGCAGAGGGTGAGCAGTGCTTTTCCAACAATTACCCAGGATGTCCAAGAGAACTGGTAACAAAACAAATAATCACTCTGCTTTCACATGTCTCCATTTTCCCTTTTTGTCAGTGTACAAATCATATCTTTGTTTAAACTGCTCCTATTTCTCTTTCATCTCTTATCCCTACCTGCCTGTATAGCATCCTTCCCACATTCCAATTTTACATTTACATTTCTAAATATCATATTGCTACTCTTACTCTTTGGCTCTTTCTTCCCTCCTCTTTTAATGGCCCCATCTAATAAACTGTATTTCAAACTCCCTTGTCCTCCTTTCTATGATTTCATGTCCACTTCCCTCCTCCAAAAACAAATACTTAACTCTTTCTGGAGACAGCCATCTTTTTTACTTTCTATCTTACGTGGCATGTCTCTGTGATACTTGTACATCAAATGTTATGTAATGATTGAAAGTATGTTATCTTCAACTTTACCCCTTTGCATTTTTTTTCCTGAACCTTTATCTTAGTAATTTCAAGTATTGCCTTTTTTTGAATCTTTCTTTTGCACTCCTGATCATCAGCATGAATTTTATTTTTTTTTAACCTTTTAAAAAATAAACCCACCAACAAAACCTGCACAAAGATGGAGTTTGGGACTGTTTGTTGACATAGCTAACTGTGTTACAATGTTGCATTAAAAAGTCAGATTGAAAGCCAACTCAAACATTAGCTAATATGTATTAAGGTTTTTATTTTAACTACATCTTTTGTTGTTTATTTTTGCTTTTTGCTATTTCAATAGCTGTTTGTGAGACATCAGGTATTTGTGCCATGTGTAGCAAGCCCATATGTCCTGAAATCAGAGAGAAAGGCGGGTAGAACGTAAAAAGGAGGAGTTAAAGGGCAGGCTCCTTGTTTATTGAAATCCCCCTGCAGGAACTCAAGGAGAATTTGTAAGTCAGGTTAAGCAGAACTTTTTATTAAAAATCAACATCAAGAGTCCATATCATTATATAATTTAGCTCACAGAAATTATTATGAGAGGTAACACCACAAGTGCTCTAAATTCTGGGTAGCAAGAAATGCCCATGCACAATTCAACTCCACTTCAAAACTGACACAAATCTGTGTTTGAGTTGTCTTCCCCAGAGCTAATGACACGATCTGTGTAAACTGTCTGTCACTGCCCTGCCCAGGGCTCATCAATGTTCAGTAAGCAAATCGACATTTGCCTAGAGACAAGACAAGGCTGAAACAGCATTTTTGTGTAAGAAGAGTTTCTGCAGTCTAGACGTTTCACAAAGAGTCAGATGAGCTTGAAAATTGGCATTGCTTTTCAGAAGTTAAGCAAGAGACACTTGTTAATATGAACTTGGGATCTGAATTAGAGATACTTATTATGTGCTGTTACTAACAACTGCTAAACTATTTTTGAAAAGCTGGCACAATGGATATCAGTTTTACTGCTCTGAGAAAAAGTGGCTCTGAGTGTTACATGTATACCCAACACATGGCAAAGACAAACAAATCAAATTTGAGTTAAAATTCAAATTCTAGTAGAGACATACCCTTAATTCCCTGTGAGAGCTGAGGATGACCAGACTCAGTGCATAATATACTGAGCATCTGCAGATAAGCAGGAGCAGGATGTGGCAAATGCTATAGGCATGCAACAGCAGGACAGAAATACAAGTACAGGCAGACAAAGCTACAGGCTCTTGGCTCTGCTTGTTGAATGAATACAAACAGAGGTATCTCCCTCCAATTCCCATCAGGAGGCTTCCCCTACATGTCCTATTACCAACTCAATCTTTTCAAAAAGCAAAATAAATTCTCCTAGGAACCAAAAGAAATGTAGGGTTTGATAATTTCTTGCCAAATTCGCAATGTGGTTTTTCATGTCCATTCACCATGTAGAGGCTGCCAACAGAAATCCAAATAGAAGAGGTAAAGCTGAAGTAAACATGTAATAAAACTTGTAGGTTTTTGTGTCCCATCCTCAACCAGCCTTCACTCATCTCATGTAGATTTAGGTGCCCTAAATCATACAACACCTTCAGAGCTTTGTCAAAGTGTAATCTGGTGCCAACAACTTGACTGCCAGAGCTAACAGAAGAGCATTTGGCAAACAATGCTTGGGTGGCTAGAAATCATCTTGCAATATTCATGGTTAAATAGCTTTAGTAAAATTACTTGATCATTCCCTAACAATATCTACAGCATTATTTATACCCAGCCATAATGTATATGTGCAACTCCAAAGCTGCATTCTTTGTGAAATGCTTGCATCTGCAGTGATGATGTATTGAGGACTAATACTGGGACAGCAGATAGCATCCTGGACAATGAGATTATATGAAATTTAAATTAATGTAAGCTTCCTAAGGAATTATTTTGAATAGGGATAAGGTAGCTTTATGAATTTAAAACTTCCTTCATATTTCTTTATCCTGGCACCTCATCTCACAGGGGGAGAACCCAGTAGCCTTCACTGGTGCAGCCTCACAGAGGAGATAATTTTGAAAAGTGTTCTTTGGGGGGAGCTCTGCAAGTGTTCAGAGGCATATTGACCTGCAAGGATTAGGAAGAAATTTTGCAACATGTGGAAAACAGCCCATGGGATCCAGCCAGCGGGAGGTTTAACTGCTGCTCTGCCTCCCAAGTGGGCTGAGCCATCTTCTTATTAGGATGCTGACTCCTCAGGCAAGGCACATATTTGTGAGATTACATCCTCCAAAAGCGGTAATGCAGGTACTGGTTTGCTTTTAATCATTCATCCTTCTCTCTTCTTCCTGTCTGCCATTCCAGCTTCTCAGAGATTAAAAATTCCCTGTCAGCCACCTGCCTGATCTGATCAGTCCCCCACTTTGGAAACCTGGGATGGTTCTGTGCAATCCACCCTCCTGATATACAGGCTTTAAATATAGCACCTATATTTGGCAGACTCTTTTTTGGGGGGGGGGGGTTGATTTCTTGTTGAGTATTGGATACTTGCATTGTCTAAAAGCATTTCCAGCTCTAATGGGAAAATAATGAGTTGTGAACCTCAAATGAACTCCATATTTCCCTCTGTGTGGAGATAAAATTAGAAGAATTTAAACCATGTTGAGATCTGCCCTTATTTACATTTGAGAAGGGTGTATACTCAGGTTAGGTGTGGATTGACCTTTGCAGACATGGTAGAAGGCATAAAGCTTCACAATTAAGTACTCAGAACTAAAATGGATTATGAGAGGAATTATATGTTCACTTCCAGGAAGCTTCTATTTCCTATGGGATATCTACAATCCTTTCCATCAGGGGTTTAATTAACAGCCAATTGTTAGGACTGACTTCTTTCATTCCTGCTGCATCTGCCTGTGAATGGCTGAATGCCAGGTCTCACAGAATTTTAGTATTGCTTGTCTCATACTTAGGATACACCTAAGTATAAAACCTGTACCTTCTGACAGAAGACCAAGCCTCAGAGAGCAAGATATAGGCAAGGTAGCAGCCTGTCAGAACCATGATCTTCTCACTCCAGGCCACACTTGGTGCACCTACACTTTGGCACAGGGGTCTGACTATGGCATGGACAGATGCGTAGAAGAGGAACCACAGGAGTTAAGGGATATCAGTCTGTGTACGGCTATTAAGATGTGTAATTTTGCTTCTAGTATCTATACTGAAGTATAGTTCACTGTCACAGCTCCCTACAGCAACCAAAAAAAAAATGTAATAAAGGTGTGCCATCCTGTACTGCCATCACAAATACTGGTCAAAACATGGATCCATCTGAAAATGTGTTGCAGTAAATCCAACCCAGCTCTTAGAAAAGGATTTCTCTCCATACCAGACTCAATCAGAAGGACAAATTTATGATCTTTTTTTTTTTTTTCAGGTAGTCTTGCAGCATTACAGTCAGCTATAGTGAACTGAAAGTTAGATTTAAATGCAGGGTGTTGAGAAGCAATGCTTCCTGCTACAAATGCCCTCAGTATATCCCTCCCTGGGTTGTGACTGATGGTATTTTAGAGGCATATCACCAAAAAATTCTATCACCTGTATGAAGACCTGGTCAGAGATTAAATACACCCTGTGTTGAGATGTGGTTTTCAGAGAAATAATAACTGTAGGCAAGACACAACTCACATTTCCATCTGAAAATGAGGGTGGAGATATATGGTTTTCCAGGTTTCAGCATAGTTTCTGATTTCAGATTCTAGACAAAAGTGTAAAATTTCTCAAACAGCTTCCTTGGCACTGCAAAGGCTGTTGAAAACTTTTTGAGCTAGCAATATGTGGGTTTAGAATAATCACCCTAACAAAGGGATATATCGCATATTAGCATCTGTGATGGTCAAACAATGTAATGCTATATAGAAAGTGCTTTAACTGAATATATTTTTTAAAATATGTGTTTCAAAAATATGTTTATTTTCTAATAATCAGCTATGTTTCATTGCTTCAGTCCTAGTTTCCACTTGCATAGAGGAGCAGACAAAGTCCCTTCAGGACCACTAACACATTTTGATTCAGAGCCTGAAGTTAAATAGGTACAGGCTCAAAATACAGGCCGACAGGCTTCCAAACAGCCTTAATTTAGCCTCTCACTTGCATACACATTATAAATACAGTCTCTCTGCAGACTATCACACTTTTTCATTAATATCTGTCTGGTTTAAAGCTCTATGCTGTTTCTTTAATTCAAGTGGGACTATTTATATGCATAAATATGTCCTCAAATTCTGCAGAGCTGGACTATGACAGGACTGGAGGCTGCTTCCATGATTTTAAATGTTGGTTCATAACACTACACTAGAACTGAGCATTTGGGTTAGGTCCTTTAAAGGTATTTAAATTACAAACTATGGAAAATAAATTTTTTAATAATCTGGGAACAAAATTTGCCGCAGATCAGATATCCATGCTCTTAAACGTAGTTAGTGGTTATTTGCATTTTTAGGTATCTGAGAAGTTTTAAAAAGGCTTGACTTTAATGTTTCTTTAGAGTCTGGACTCTGTATAAACTATTTGTGAAGTAAAGTTCAGTAATTACAGTGAAAATATGCAAAGGAAAAACTTGAGAACATTTAATTCAAGAACAGAAAAAGGGACCTAGATGGGAGGATCAAATGAGAGCTGCCACAGCCTAAAAAAGTATCAAGCAACATTTAGGCAGCATTATTTTAGGACATCAAAGATTATCTTCAGATCCTTTAGGTGTGGCTGGAAAAATCTTAGTACTCACATTACAATTTGGATGTGCTGGTGTGTTTTTTTATGGTCCAGTATTCCTGAAGGAATGTACTTTTCAGATTTTAGTCTCTTCTTAGGAATTGCTCACAGCTGAAAAAATACCTTCAGACATCCAGCTGAAGTACCCTAAAAATTAAAGTAAGGAAGATTTAAAAAAATCTAATTTACTTTCCCTCAAGTACCTTGTCTTTCTACTCTTCATTTTACTAAATATCTGGTGATTGCACCCGAGACAGATTTCTGTTTGGTTTTCAATCCTTTACTTCATCAATCTCGTGTCTTGTTATCTCTTTAAGAGAAATATTTCAATTTCTACAGAGCACTGTGGGTTTTTTCAAGCCAGATCTTAAGCTAGCATTGACTGGTAAGTGACAACTACTGAGTAGGCACCTCTGTGTAAGGCACGCAGCACTGACGTTTCATGTGAAGGTAATTCACCAGCTGACAGCTTTTTTCCCCATTTAAGTTGCTGACCATGCATCTATCAAGTGAGCTGGCACATGAAAGCCTATGACAGACAAGGTTCTGATCCTTGCATGGGACACCCAGGATATATTTCTTCTCTCACTCCCAGGAGCAGCCACAGAGAATTTCCCATCTCCAAAGTTTTTTCCTAAATTGCACGGATAATCCTTTTAGCATGACAGTTGTGTTGTCTGCCATGTGTCCATCTGAGCTGAGAAGTCTGCTGCTCACCTGTGCCTGTACAGCCATTTCTGTACAAAAGAGCTTTATTCCTGATGCCAGAGACTCAGGAGCCAGCTCCTGTTCTGAACAGGCTTTTGAACACACTCACATCCCTCTGCGAAGCATCTCAAGCAAATTAATTTCTTCCTAGCTTATTACATGGCTCATCTTTTGAGGTCCACTTCTGGTCAGTAGTGTTCCTCAAACCCTGACTGAGAGTGGAATCCCTCTCCTGACAACTGAGTTGCAGTGCCCAATGACCCGTTTGTTCCTTTAACTAGGACTTGGATTGTTTGCACCAACTGTATCCTTAATACAGATTTGGGATACCTGTATTAAATACACAACCGCACAGAACCACACAGAAAATTTATGTTTCCATTTATATATTTTCAGTCTCTAATTCCAGCTTGAACCTTAATACAACATGTGCATAATTATTTTCAAAGAATGAAACAAACCTTTAATGAATAATCCCTATGCTGTTCCACAAAGAAGCCGAAGCCTGATTTACTCATAAGTAAAAGGTCAGGAAGGTGATCCAAGCCTTTTTAAAAACTGATGTTTTTTATTTCAGTTTCATTCCAGCACTGGCCTCAGGAGAACAAAATATACAAGATTAATAAATTGTACATTTCTCTCACAGTAGTGGTATGTTACAATGAATAAAAGTGCCTGAAAATTCAATTCTCAGAATTGCACTGCTCAGGCCTCGGCTTCTCGTCTGAGATGCTCATGACTTCATGTCTCATGAGGATGCCCTGCACAGTTTTGAAAATAAGTGGGGCATAGCATCCTGGCCCAAAAACCTGGGTTTTCCCTGTTAAAATGGATAGTTTTGGGGGCCAGAAAGGGTACAACTACTGTTGGTTCCAATGAACTCTCTGAAGTTACAAAGTTAGGAGAAAGCACTAAGTATTTAGCTATCAGAAGGACTATGAGGCTGGTAGCATTGAGGTAAGTGCAGGCTTTAAAAAAAAGCAAACCCTAAAGTTGTACTTTGGAGTGTTCATCCCACCTTTATCCAGCCTGCATTGAGACAAAGATAGACCTCATGGAGTCCCACCTAGATTCCAAGGATAGAAGTCTAGGAAGATTGTTGTGTGAAGGATTTTATGGGTGAATCCCCACTAGGCTACAGGAAAGCTCTACTGAGGACTACTACATCAGCTAGTAATTGTGTCTCTCTTCTGGTCAAATAACAAGATGACTTTGTTGGCCAGACATTGTCCTTTTGGAAGCGCAGTTTCAGCTGTGGATTTTGCCTGAGGGAAAGCTGAGCTTTCAGGAGGTCATGTCTTTCAAAACACAATCAGTACTACAACAGAATGGAGGCATCATCTATTTTAGGAATTTACACAAGTCACAAGTAATTTAGCAATCTTTTGGCATGTACAAAATGTATAATCCATGTACTGCTTTTCCAAAAATTAGTAGAAATGAAGTGTCCAGCTACACTTCAATATAAATCTGCCAGTGCTCTCAATGAACCCTGAGATCTCTTCCATTTCAGAGATTTTCAATCTTAGAAGTCTCTATTCGAACCCATTTTTTATTTTGTCAAAGGAAACTTAGATGCAAACGTCTGAATACTTTCAAGTATAATTTTGTAGGTGCAAACATCTGGATATTTACAATTTTAGTTTTGTATCTTATTTCTGTTCCTATTGAAGTATCCAAAATATTGTCAGCATGAAATAACAGCCTCTGTTATCTATGTGGAAAAAAAAAAGAATAAAGAAAAAAAAATAAAAGAAAATTACAAGTTTAGCAAAGAGATGCTTAAAACTTGTTTTTATACTTTTATTTTCATTCTCATTTTAGTTATATTACATTGTCCCAGTTGTTAGGGATAACATCTCTTTGTTCTAAGCTTTGTTCTAATTTATACTGGTGGCATTGTTTTCAGAAGGATCAAAAACTTTTCCTGAAGAACCTCTGTGGCTGAAATAAAATGTTACTTCTTTCCTATAATCTAGATTTGAATTTGTTGGAAAGAGAGCTTTGACATCTGCAACTCAGTCAGGCATTGCTTGCTCTGAAATAAGTACAACTGTGAATGTGGTTCCAGATCCTCATGAGATTTCTACACAAGGATGGATTTTGGCCTTGATTCTGCAAGTCTGACTTAGCTCAGCAACCCACAGAAGTGCCATTGCAGCTGACACTGTGGCTGACTCAAGAAGATCCCCTGTGGGCTTTGCACAAACTCTCTTGCTTTGATGTTTGTTTCTTTTTAAAATGCTGTAGTGAATTGCAATACACTGCTCTTTTCCATTCTTTTACAGCAACTTGTGGGAAAATTTTATCCATCCTTTCTCAACATATGTCAGAGACAGAAACAAGTCATGAAGGGACTAGCAGAACTTGGCTGGCTCCAGCCCCTGCCTGCACTTCAGAGCAGGTGGATTAGCTGCAGGACTGCAGCAGACAAGCTGCACTAGCAGGTTTGTAATAAAAGCCCTGTAACTAACCATCAGCTTGCCACATCGCTTGAAAAAGTTTAGCTGTTGTTGTTCTCACAGGAAAAAGGAACTAGAAGAGCATCAGCCAATCAGCTGCAGCATTGCAATACATTTCTGTTTTTCTGAAAATGTCACTCTGATGACATCCTGTAATCTCAGTGATGCAAATCATTCTCTATTAAGGAACAACATCAGCAAACAGCCTAGCTTTGTGGTCAGAAATGCCATTTATACTCTAAAAAACAATGAAACTGTGACAATGAACATGCAGAAATGTTTCCAATGGGTAACATACACCCCAAAGATTTAGTGGTTTTACCTGTGAAAAGACACTTCTTTTTGCTAAGGTGCATTGTGGATCCTAATAAATGCACTAAGGCCTATGAAATGATCAGATAAAATCTACCCCTATTACAAAACCATCCATGACTGAGGCTACATGGGTTCCCAAATGCACAAGTTTGTTTTGCAGAAAAGTTGTCAGTACAGCTTTTGGTTTCTGTATTTCAACTATGAAGAGAGACGCATGAGGCTGAAGACAACCAAGGCAAAGGTGCCAACCTTGCTTCCCAGGCAGGCAAAAGGGAGCCTGCTGGGAGTACTTCAGGGGAGCACGATCCCAGTGCTGCTGGGCACAGACCGAGGTAACTGCCCGTCCTTGAGAGTCTGATTTGTCAGCATCCAAAATACCTCATTCCTCCTTCTCTACAAGTAAAAAAAAAAAAAAAAAAAAAAATTATTTAAAAAAAAAAAAAAAAAAAAAAAAAAAAAAATATATATATATATATATATATATATAGGATAGTCAAATGCATGCCAAACCACCTTCCTATGCCTCTAAAATCTTAATTAAAATGTACTGTGGCCAAGAGTCACATTTCCTGTACTTTTATTTGCCTTAGAAATCATACTTGTGTACACAGCAGTAGATGGCTATCTTGCTTTCAAGGGGCAGTGATGAGTTGTTAGTCAAACATCTCTCAATAATAGCTGATGGAAATTTGAGAGGAAATGCTACAACCTATGTAGAAAGACTGAAAGGGAAAAGAGAAAAGTATATAATTTCTTTACATTAGAAATATGGTGTTAACATGCAGCAAAGATACAAAACAAACACAAATCCTGTTCTGTTTTCCCTTCCAGTTTCTCTCTCTAGGTTTATGTTTTATAATGGATGAGTGAGATGGGCTGGTTCTACAGAATGGGGTAAAACCACAAATATGCAGGGCAGGATAAATCAGAAAAACATGTTTGCAGCCCATGTGGTATTAGAGTGGCAAAGTTGGGAAGGAAGTGGGAAGAAATGGAAAGGAGTATAGCACATCTTTTCTGTACGTTAAAGCAATAAAAATACTGTTAAATAGGAAGACTTTGCCTACTATTCACTAAAGTTCAAGGAAAACTGAGGATAGACAATATTGCCAGCCTTGGGATCTGAGACTCTGCTCCTGAAAACACAGACAGGCTTTGCCTTTGCTGGCAAACCAGCCCATTATCAGTTTTCCTACTGCCAGTCTAGACAAAATCACCTCTGAGCACAGACAGGTAGCTCAATTTCTGTACTTCCATCATTCAAACAATCTATGTCAATAAGACGCTATTACTAATCCTGGAGTTTCTGTCATGTTTTAATGGAAAAATCTTAAAAGTATTGGCAAGTTTCACCTCTGACACTTATGTCTGATAAGTGTTATTGTATATGACTATGAAATTATATTAAAGAATATCTCCTAGAAATATTTGGTTTGTTGGTCAGTGTACTGGCTTCAAAACTCAGAGCTCCTCTTTATCTATTTGTAGGTGCAAATGTTGCAACTTTGCTTTTGCCCCCACTATTTTATGAAGTTCATAAACATACATTGCCAATACTAAGCAACCAGTTCATATTTTTAGTTAACTGTATCATTCAAGGGGCTTAAATCCATCAACAAGCCGGTCATTAAATGAATCACTGACCTATTTCTCAGCTACTCAAGCTAAATAACCTATAACTGATGACCTATAAAAGCATCAGTGTGTTAAGAAAAATTATTAGCTGGAGAAGCAGAGCAGCAATTGATCACTCCCCACCAATATGAACAGAAAGATTCACCAGCTTTGACAAATTCTAGAACTCAACAAATTCTGAACAGAAATCAGATTTTGACACACTGATGTCTAGGGGAAGTACTGTGAAGCTCCTACACAATCATACTTCAACCCTCCTTCCTTAGATTACTACTGGAAAATTTTATGTAAGTATTTAAAATGGCTCTAACCTGGGATGCTCCAGAGTAAAATCTGGAGTGCAGACTCTCCTCAACTCAGAGAGATTAATTTTAGACCTAGTACTTATTTCTACAGCAGAACAACCCAAATCTGTGGTCCAACCACTCTCCCTGCTTGGGTACATGTATGATTTAGATCCAGATCCAAATCCTGAGCCCTGGCTAGGCCCACCCTATATAGCAAGAAGATTGAAAATGTTTAAGTTCTCCATTGCTCTTACCCACAGAGCACCACCCAACAGGAAATCCATGGAAGCCCCTGGCCAGCTCTTACATGTTTCTGAGTGTGTGGACAGTGATGAGGTGGTGGGATAGAGAACAGGGCAGCATCTGGGGGGGCAACAGCCAAGGTCTGCACACCCAGACAGAGATTGCCAAGGGGGAGCAAATATAAAGAGGAGTCAGGAAGGGAGGCAGGATTACCTTCCCCTTGCCACCTCAATCAACCGTGGTACTGTGGGCTCTCAGCCCTGCATCCTGGTGGGGATTGAAACCTTCTCTCCCCTGTCTTCTACAGCCATCATCACACCAGTGTCTCAGCACTTTCTCACTAAGCCACCTGCTCATAACAAAAAATTGATGTGGTTTTCCGCTTTTTCCTCTTCCTCTGCATGAACCAACCCAGAATACTCAGTTATAGGCCCATAAGAAAGCCACCATTCATCCCATTTGCTGAAGACAGCCCATTTGGGGGCTGCTTTTGGGACTGTAAATGCATGCAGTCTCCCACCCCAATGTGGGGAGAATTACAGCTTAAAAACCAAGGCAGGAGGGTTTTTTTTTCTTACTTAACTACCCTAAAAAGTGACATAAAACTTTCCTGCTAACATACATATATGAAGTTTTATGTCTGATTTGTATTTGTATGATCTGTGGCACTGTGTGCAGATGAAGATAGAAGGTAGTAAAGTCAGGAGGGAAAGGAGAGGAAGAGAGTGGGAGCTCTCTCACCTACGGCATAAAGGTGCCTCAGTCAAGTGTGTGCCTGAAGAGCAACTTCTGGTTTTTGTTTTTTTTTTCTTCTTTCTTTTGCAATCATTGCTCGCTTGACAGGCCCAGACGGAATTACATCACTTCCTAAAACCCATCAAAGAGAGTCCATCTCCTGAAGAAATGCAGCTCAGATGCTCCCCGGCAGGAAGCAGGAAATGTAGCTGTTCGGGCGCAGCAGGGCGGCTGCCGGAGCGCCCCTCAGGTGGAGCGCAGCCGGGGCGGCATGCGGAGCGCCGGGCTCGCCGCCCTGCTCTCGGCCCTGGCGCTGGCCGCGGGAGCGGCCGGCACTGGTGAGTACGAGAGCGCCTTTCGCCTGCCGAGCGGGGACCGCGTGTCTTGCCTGCAGCAATGGGACCATTGGAGGCAACACCCTCCCAACTCAGCACGGGCAGGAGATCTGTGGGGACTTGCTCTCTGCTGCTTTTTGCTGGGTTTACTCTCTCTGTTTTCAGTTACCCCTTTTTCCAAGCTTTGACTCTTTTTTCCCTTAGACCTATTCCCGAACAGCAGCGAACAAATTCTACAATTGCAAACTTTTCCTAAATTGCAGGTGTGTAGAGCAGCGGATTTTCCATGTTGACCCATCAGGCATTTTGCTCCTAATTTTAGTTATGTTTTGAACTTTTTTTAAACCCCACACCCATACCATCAATGTTTATTAGCACAGTTAAAGGCAAAGCACTGCTTCCATTCAAAAGTGACTGCCGATTTCCGCAGTCCCGGTGCACTGAAACTGGTTTAACAAAGGAACAGCCGGCTCCGGAGACAAATATTTTGAACTCTCAGCTGCAGAACAAAGTGACTGGCACCATGGACTTAGGTTCCGACCCTCTGAAGAAAAGAATCATGAGTGGAAAAGCAGCTTGTGACAAAATGCTGAGCACTGGGGGTGTCATTGCGGAGACCCTTGCCTATTTGCAGGGGTCATTGGTTCCACTGGCATTTTGGCAGCCAGTGACTGAAAATGACAGGCAGCTCTTGGAGTGAAACCTTGCTGAGGTAGTGCTTGTAAGCCTTTTGGGGTCAAACAAATCCCTGCCAAAGCACCTTGGTATGGACTAGAAATGTTTGCTGCCTCTGTGCTGCTGTAGCAAGCAGGAGCTCTACAGAAAGCAGGCAAAGAAGACAGTCACTCTCAGATATCACTGGACTTCTCTTAATGTCCTAAAATGCACTGCTGGAATTGGTGTTTTGGTGTGTGTACTTTTTCCCTGAAAAACAGTACTGTAAGCAGGGTGTAGAGCTGGGCTGCAGGCTCCTGGTGTGCTGCTGAGCTGCTTGCACTTAGGAGACTTGCTTAACTGTACGAGCGAGCTAAGTGAGGTATAAAATGGTTAGGGTTTGGCTGTGTTACTACAGCCCTGCTGTACTGCAGACACGTTAGGAGAATATGCTGCAAACACTGAGTGTAGCTCAGAATCAAAGCAGTCAGAGGAACAAAAATCCTTCCATGGGCAGAATGAAACAGAGGTCCCAGGGAAATGGAGGAGTACAATGAAGGCATGAAGGCAATGCAGAGTGATCAGACTCCTGCTTCTCTAGGTCATGTGTGGGGTTCTGAGAGATACTATTTCATCACCATGTCCCCATGGAGGAGGACACATTAGCCCGGAGCCCCTCAGCTCATGACTGGATGTGCCCCTGCCCTTCTGTGCAATGGGCATTAGGGGCTGCAGGAAGTGCCAGGCAGATGTCACATACCAGCTGTGTGACACTCCTCACACTCCCCACTTCCTACCAGTAGGTCCACCTTTAAATTCTGGTTGATTTTGAAATGGCTCCTCTTTGGGAGTGAGTCAGTCCTGCCAGAGCCCTTCCCATGCCCTGTCAGCTCTGACTCTACAGAGCCAATCCACAGTCACTGGGGAAGGGGAGGAGAGCACCCACCTTTGCTCCACATACAAAGGCAGCTTTTGCATATGCAACCAGCCCCACAATGTTCCTGTGGGCTTATTCTGACTGTGGGTGGGATGGGGAAGTTGTGAACTTGAACTTTTCTTGGGGGGAAATGAAACTAGTGAGGGGGAAGTTCATGTAGGGCTTACGTACCCCACAGGCACTGGTGGGTCAGGAACCCCCTCTGCTGAGAGCAGCCTCCCAGGGAGATCCTTTGCTCTCACCCTTCCTTGCTCACAGATCAACAGGGCAGAACCTTTAAGGGATCTTTTTCACCTTTTACCAGGCACAGTCTTCACCTTTTAAGCAGTCTTCTGTCTAGAGACCATTTACAAAATAGGCAAACAGAGTATGATTAAATCTTGCAGCACAGACAGATTAAAGTCTTTATAAGTCCTGTTCCCATACCATGTCAGAGCCTTGTAAAAGCCTAGCCTTGCCATTTGAATTATAATTTATGGATGGTTTTCTCCCTGTGATGCCACAATCACTCTAATCCAGTAGCTCTAAGAGCATTCCTGAGGTCACAGCTCTGCGTGCTGGCCTTCTCCCAGCTCCAAACTGAGGGGATGTTGGGGTTTGTGCCAGTTCCTTTCCCCTTGCTTCAATGCACTCAGGAAGCCCTACAGGTAACAGTCTAGGGCTCTCTACTGCAGAGGATGGTACTCACTGCTCAGCCTTGCAGCAGCCCTGAAGACCTACCCAGGTGTGTGTGCTGACCCTAGTAACAAGCATTAAGACCCTTACTATAGCTTATAGGAACATGCTCTGACCCTTGAGTCATTTCCCAGGCTAGGCCATCTCCCACTGCATTCGGTGAAACAGGTGGGAAATTGCAGCATAAGTGGTCTGACATGGGGAGCAAGAAAATGTGTGAGGGAGAGGATGTACTATTGCCAAGTGGAAGAGCTAGGGTGTTTGCAGATAGTGCTCTATTTTGTCTGTGTCTCTGTGCCATTGTTTTGAATGGTCATTCAAAGAAACACTGCTATCAAAGATCCAGATACTCAGCAGCTTGTACCACGAGCACAGGCAGTGACTCTCTCCTTGGGAGGCAAGTGTCTTTTAGGCTGCCTCCCCTGCAAAGCCAAGGTATCTAACGGAGCAATAATTTTGACCTGTTCCCCCTAGAGTAATGAACTGAGAATGGGTTTGAACCTCTTTCAATCACCTGTTAAAATTTTCTAGCAAAGCAACAATGTAAGAAATGAGGATTTGTTACATTTTGTCTTTCCTAAGCGCTGCGCCCTAAAAAGCAGATGAAAAATCCTTTCTACTGAACACATCAACTCCTCCTGTGTATTTATTACCATTCCTCCATTTAAGCCACACACAAACATTCACTGTTTTATTCAGCAGCTTCAGGGACATTTCAGAAAATCTCTCATTTACATCAGCAAGATTGTATGCTAATTTTCAGGCAGTGATACCAGTCTCTTTTCCCTCAAGAGATTTTATTATAGCTGGAAAGCCTCTGGAGCTTTTGAATCTTTAATTTCAGGGTCCTCCTGAGAGCAAGGAGCACTGAGAGATTTGCATCACAGTGGGGTCACAGGGGTATCAGAGATGCAGAGCTAGAAGGCCGTCAGATTAAGTAGAAGCAACTAAATGCATAAATTGGTCTGGAAAGCCTGTAGTACTTGGGGTGAGCAATGAGACTACAGGTTCACAGTTGGACTCTAAGATGTGTGACTGAATTTGCAACACTGCCTGTTAATGCAGCGCTTCAGCTGAATAGAAATACAGTGAGGAAAAGCAGTTTCCATCTTGTATAAATAAGCTTAAACAGTTGTTTCCTCTTTCAGGTTATACCTAGATAACGCTTTCTAAGCACCTCGTTTTAATAGGATCTTGTCTACAGATTAGCCACCCTGAAATGCTTGTGCTCCCTCATCAGAAGAGTGTATGCTCCCAACAGCTAGCCTGCAGGCTTTTAAGGATTCCTCTTCTAGCCAGACTGACAGGCAAGACCTGCCACAACAGGCAGCTGGGCAAGCCCTGGCCACGGCAAGGAACAGCCCTTCTTATAGCAACCTGAAATGTGGAGAGAGGAACAGTGCAGGGATGAGCCAAGCAATACATCATGTGGAGTGGATGACTACACCACCAACAGAAGGTGTACAGCAGGATAATATAGCATATGGTAACTTTATTCCAGCTTTATAGCCTTTTCTTGTTCTCTCACCTTCTCGTGAGCCCTCCTTCCTTCACTGCATTTTTATAGCTTATGGGAAAGTTTGGAAAAGTAAAAGCTTTCCTTTCAGACTAATAAGCCTGGCTATCCCACTGACATAGCTCTCGCTTTTTCTCTATCTCATTGCTTTTTCTTCTGTCAGTAGTCACTCTGGTGCAATTTGAAAAATTCCCTTGAGAGAACCCAGTCCTTGAGTCTGATGGCAAGGCAGCAGAGAGACTGATGGTTCTACAACAAAACTGAATGTGCTGCCTGCCAGATGTTTTCCTTTGCTATTTTTCTTTGCCTCACATCCCAGTGAATTCAGAAACCTGTTTGCCTGCTTACTTCATCAGGAAGCCCATATCACCACCTCTGAGTGCTGCAGCATAGAGGTAAAAATGCTGCAACAACAGAAATGTTGTTTGCTTGATTGAGACATAATTTTTTGGACTCCAATCTGTAAAACTGCTTGGTATATTCAACTACCTCTGTCTCCCATGAAAAGCATATTTGGGAGCACCTACAAAACTCAAGCAAAGTCTATCAGTGATCCAAGCATATTTTTAAAGTAAAAAATGTTGAGTAATACCTTATACCATAGTATCTGTGTACAGGGACATAGCTTTTTCATAATTTGTAAGAACTGTTAATTGAACCTTTTTTGAGATGCTGCTAGTGCTTGCTCAAGTATTTTGGTCCCTTGAGTTCTAGATCCTCTAATACCTCAATTGTGGAACCCTGAGAACTTCCTGATTTCCAGCTCCAGCTTTTTGGCTTCCAGTTCCAGCTGTGCCCACCTTCTCATCAGGGTGGGCTACAGCTGCATGGCAGCCCCTCTCTCTTCTTCTTTTGAAAGCATGGGAAGTGGCAATACAGGCTGGGCTGAAGCTGTGGTGTGTTCCCATCCACTTCCCTTAACACAGGAAGAAATCACCAGCATTCATGCTCTAGGTAGTCCAGACAAAGGTGAAGCCCATGTGGCTGTTCTATGAGCATTTGCTCCTTGGACAAGATGTGCAGAGGGATGAGTGTGGATGTTGGAATGTAGCCAACAGAGAAAGGGCACAGGCTTTGCTTTACAAAGTCAAGGAGATATCTATATGGTCACACGTGACTTGCTCTTTGTTACACTCCACTGGCCTTGCTTTCCCATCCTGAATGTCATGCTCTATTGTTGTAAGATTCCCATTTGCAGGGAGCTAGTAGACATCTGCAAGATGAAACCCCAGCACAGCTGACAAGGCAGTTCATGGTATGAATTATCACTGTAAAAATCTGGCATGGAGAAAATATTTGAACAGCACCTCACAAAATCTCCAACTTTCAGATGTTCTGCCCTGCTCCAAACCTTGTAATGCCGAACTGTAATTTACCCCACAAAACACCACCCAGGCCAGCTGCAACACAGCCCACTTGCTATTTTGAGCACTTTAAATTGAAACTCTATGACAAATAGCAACTATCTTGTGGTCAGCCACGTGTGTTTCACTGGGCAGGTGGCTGTGGCAGGCACTACAGCCTGAGCCCGACTCCCTGCTGGACTGGAGGCACAGATCCATCCCCGATGCAAGCCACTGGGCCAACCCAAGTGCAGGTTGTGCTTTCCTACTGTGTAAAAAGGGTGATGTGTGGGTGGCCTGAGAGTGAGAGCAACTGCTGTGTGACAGGTGAAGCGTCCCTTGAGGCTGAGCTCTGTTCCTCAGAGGTGATGGGGCAGTGCGAAGTGTTGAGGCAGCAGGCAAAATGCAGGAAATAAGAGCAATATCCTTGCAAGAACATTGTGCAACTGGCTGCTCTTCTGCTGAAAGATGTATTTAATTCAGTCAGAGAAAAGGTATCTGTAAGAGGAAATGGTGTTCCCAGAGAGATGCTGTTCTGTCCCTGGAATTATGCAAAGTGAAAAAAATACATGGCAGCAAGGTCACTCCCTGTGATTTACCATTTTCTTTGCCTAGAGACTAGAAAAGGTAATTCTATTTCACTCAAAGACAAATGATTTGAAGTCTCCTTCATAGTTCAAAACCAGGCGAAGTGGCAGAGATACTGGAAAAATCTCTCTCAGAAATCAAGCACATCATACTCTGCAGCTGAAAGTTTATCACTGCAGTTAATGAGGTGTGACTGTTTGCTTTGCTTTAAAGCCACACCATACTTTAGACATTTGAAAAATCCATTTTTAGCTCTACGAATAGATGAAAAGTAAGGTATTTGCTCCACACCCTTTCCTATTTTAAGCAACAGGCTTGTCTCTCTCAATATATCAAATGTGGCAGGCAATGCCTAGAGGAGGAAAACGAAGCAAGGTCATCGAGGAGGTCCGGTGAGGCTGCGGCGGGCCATCAGCTCTGCCGGCGGCACAGTCCATCCCGCCGCAGCCCGCAGCGCGGACATCTCCCGTGCTGCCTCGCTCTGCACGGCAGCGATGGAAACGGACTGGCTGCAGGCACTGCCAACTACAAACTGCCTTGGAAAAGAAAAGGCAAATGGCCAAACTCGTAAGGGAGAGGCGCTCTCCCTCCTGTGCTCTGGGATAAAAGATTAAGGACAGCCAGCAGATCACGGGAAGGGGTGGAGCAGCACACACCTAAGGGGATCGTTGCCTGCAAGGGAGGCAAAGATAGTGTATTGCTCTTGACTGAAATACTCTTGACTGAAGAGACAGAGAGAGTATTGATACAAAGTGCTTTGCCACAGAAGAGCTATCATTTTCATTGTCCTATTGTGCTGCAGGAGTCTGGTGACCTTCACAGTATTACATTAAGTATTCAAATTCTTTCCTAGTTTCTAGGAAAGGATGAAACAATCAGATGCCTGTGTGATATGTGCAGCATAAAAATCTAGATAAAACACTGCTGTCACACTCAAATAATTTTATTCATCTGAAATTGGGTTTCCTTGAATACAGTCTCATGAAATACTCCTTTTTGAGACAAATCTGGTGGGAGAGGAGATGCTGCAGAGTGGATTAAGCAAGAGATAGCGCTCTAATCCCAGTTTTTCTCTCTCGCTTGGCATCCCTGGGAAGGACAGCATCCCTGTCCTTCTGATTTCTCATTTGTAAAATGGAGATGATAACTGCTCATCTCTCAGGGCCATTATGAAGATTAATGTGTTTACAAAAGCATTTAAAATGCTAAGTACTTTTGGTTCCAGTCCTGTGAGATTGGAAATGCCAGCACTGAGGTGCTGAAAACCTTAAACTCTTGATAACTCTTGTGGAAACTCTAGCTGCCCAGCATTTTACAAGAATGAGGAGCAGACAACACAAAAAAGCCATCATGCCAAGAAAATTATTGAAGGCTTTGCTGCTGTAATTTATCTAAAGACTGATTCTTGCACCTTTGGCTACTGCAGGATTTGGGGCATCAGTATAGAATACAGCATCAGCCCAGAATTTGCTGTACTTCTGTAAAGCTTTTGAACTCTGTGACAGTCAGTAGACTCTTACCTAAACACACAAAAAGCACTTGCTTCACTATTACTGACACAGCCAATTTTAGCCACTTTTCTTGTGAAATGTGTGATAAATGAAGCCAGAACTGAGATCAAAGTTCAAAACCCCCAGTTTTAGCACTTATGGGGAATATCCAGCACTGATGCTTTGCCACACACTTCTTCAGCCAGCCTGTAGAATCAGTCAGAGGAACAGTTAATTGGACCTATATGCAGTAAGTAATCCGTGTTACTACCACCTCTTCTAGTCCACGCAGATGGGGAAGTCAGCAGCTTTTGCATCCTTCAGACTTCCTTTCACCAACTCTGTTTTTTACAGTGAGACAAATTTAACAAATTTGAGAAAGGCACAGAAACAGGGAGATGAGTGAACAAAAGGAACTGGTGAACCAGGGATAAGGGTCTCCCTGAAAGCAGTACCTAACTCCTTGGGTAAGGGGAGGGACATATGTGCCAAGATTGAGAAGCAAAACAGGCTGTTGTGGTTTACTGAGAAGCAGAATAATTTCTCATGCAAGAAAGACCGGATGCCACCCTGCAGCAAAAGAAGTGTGTTTGTGCAAGGCAGCTGTGTGCAGACAGATGACACATGCTGATGTGACCCAGTAAAAGTCAGCTGAAGAACATGGCCATGACTGGTAAGATTTTATGATAAAGTTGAGATCTAATTTTACATCCAGTGCCCAAGATGTATGTATAGGGCATCTGCTGGGGTTTTTTTAATACATTAAATGGGAAGTAAATATTAAAGTTGTACACTGTGGCTCACTGACAATACTAATGAAATTCTTAAAATGTTAAATTGTCCTCATGTATTTGACAGACCCTGGAAATGATGGATCAGGAGATGGATCGATGATATTACCCACTTTTACAGCAACACATCTTCCTGCTACGAGTCCTTCGACTGTGGATGACCATGAGCCAGTACTTGCAAGCGCTACTGAAAGCAGCTTTGATACACAGAGTTCTCCAAGTACTGAACTGAATGCTGTGAACTATGGGGACAGCCTAGAAGCAGCAGAACAGTCTATCTTGATATATGTTGTTCCTGTGGCGCTGCTGGTCCTGCTGATTTTGTTGATCACATTTTTTGTAATGCATCATAAAAGGAAAAAATCCAAGCAAGGTAAATTTTTCTTCTTATACATCAAAAGGCTGCTTCTAGGATGTGTTCAACATTAACAGAACATTATTTTGAGGCATGGGATGCCACATTTAAGATGCCTTTCTCTGACTGTAGTTGCAAGTTTGACAAGACAGGGATCTTCCCCAGCAAGCAGCACCTGGTCACACACCTCTCCTTGGTGCGTGGAGAACCACACAAACCTCTCCTTGGAGGTGGCAAGAAGCTACTTCTGCTTCTTGGCACCTCCTGTTCATGCTGCCACACCCATGGGAGCCCTGGCACCAATCTCTGGCTCCTGGAAATGCTGAGAATGCTCAGGGATGTAACTGTGGCTGCAAATGCTTGTTCTTTCTTTATGCTCAGCTACTTTAGGCAAGGTGAAATTAATGCTTCTACTGCCCATAGTGCCCATAAGGTAAAGCTGCTTGGAACTTCAATAAAATAAGAACAAGAAAAAACATTTTAAGGAACAATTTTAAGGAATCCTGATTCCATAGGGTGGAGGCTGCTATGAGGACATCACAGCAAAAGAGCTAGGTCAGACTGCCTGTGTGCTGCAGTAGGGTGAGCAATGCTTCAGGAAGGTGCTGTGATCTGTTAACAAAGGAATTGGTAACTTGGAGTGTCACGCCACAGGAGAACAAAGTGAGGTGTGGTAATAAAACCACATAGTGGGTAAGTGAAATTCTGAGATGATCATACCAGTGTAACTACATGGTCAGAGTGTGGCTGTCAGCTCATCAGCCTGCAGACAGTGCAACACATTCAACATACATTTTAAGTCAAGTTTTAAGGGCATTTTTAGGTTGCATTTGTCTGATCACTGGGTTCCCTCTAACAAACTATGAATTTGCAACCAGGCACCCAGTTGCCTGCCTGTTTCTGGATGATTGAAATGCAGGGGTAGATTTTTTTCAGAGGAGTGCACATGTACACTCTTCAGAGGGTTAGGAAATATGGTACCTTTCAGGAGCACAATCTTAGGATCCCATGCCCTGTGCCAGCCTGGGATTTTGAGAATTTTCAAGGCTGGGGCAGATGGCTCTGTGGTTTTGGAATAGCTCTGCAGTCTGGGAATGTGCTGGAACAACTGGGAGGTATCACCTGCTGGCAAAAATGAATTAAAAATAAGGTCATTTAAGACAGGTTTTTCAGTCACTTGATCCCTGGAGATAAAGATATTTATTAGAATTATGTCTGTGACACTATACCTCCTCCCCTCCCATTTTTACTTTGTCTTGGAGTCCTAAGTAGATTGGATCCCTTTTGACATCTGTCTAGTTCAGCCTCCTTTGCCTAACTGAGATCTAATCAGCCATGCAGCCCATCTCCCCCCACCCCACACTCCTGGCTGTTCTCCCCATGAGCAGTTCCCAGAGTCTCCAGACAGAACAGAATTGCCCAAGTGTAATCTGTAGCAAAATGTCACAGTGCTTCTAGTAAATATTTTTTTTTTTTTGGAGAAGTGGTTCGTTTTCAGGATACCATTTCCCTCAGTACATCTGTTTTGCTGAAGGAAGTGTACATCTGCCCTGTCTTGCCCACTGCAACACCAGCACTGGGCTTCCTCCCAGCATGGTTGTGCTAATAATGAGATGCTTTTAGCTTCAAAATAATGGGCTCCTCTGAAAATTGCAAACAGGATAAGATGTTTTGTCTTTCATCTGCAATTTAATTTTTATGCCTTTTGAAAATGCAATCTGTTTTACTTGACCCTATTCAAGGCTTGCATGCAGTCTGGACCCTGTAAATATAATGGGTAAATATCTTGCAGAACTATAAACACCAACTTTCTTCTTTTCCAGATGAGCTGGGAAGTGAAAATGTAAAAAGGTAAGTTTTATGACTATCATTATTTTTAAAAAAATTCTTTTACTCTAACCTTTGTCTCCTTCCCTGCCTCTTTTAATTTAGCTGTACACTAAACGCCATTACTTTTTGCCATTAATTGAACCAGAAATCTCAACAGGTGGATAAAGTGTGGCTTCATATGTGGCTGAAGTGTAAGACTAGAGCAGGAGAACAAGAGTTAGTGGTGACTGAGGCAAGGGCTGCCCCACAGACACCCACAACCCCCAGACCTTACTGAGCCTGCTCTTAGGCACCTCCTGCCTCCATCAGCCACAAGTGGTACAAGGTGCCCCATGAGCAAAGGGGATCAGTTCCCAGGCTCATCACAGGTTTTGCTATTCAGAATAAGCTCTATGTCTTGCTCCCCGGTTTTTCAAGTTCATCTTCTTACTCAGAGGTGAGGCAGAAAGGCTTGCCTGGCTGCCACTGGAACAATGACTTAGATGCTTGAAAAACAAGACAAGAAACTGTGTGGCTCTTATCAGAGTCATAATTTTTATTGTTGCCTTTTATTGACCTCCATCTTGCTAATCAGTCCTGAAAGTTGACTAATTTGCTCTATGAGGAAAAAAGGGTTTTTTTTCTAAAAAAACATTTTCTATCATATGACTTCAGGAATGATAAGCAAAAGGAAACTAAGCAGAGGCATTTAAATAAATACAGCTCTCATGACCTTTCCTTTTGAAGTCACTGCAAATGTCAGTCACAGATATGATGAAACTTTAGGCCTTCAGCTTTTAGCACTGGAGCAATGGTACTTCTGTCATGTGTTCCAGGAGGGCAGGGACAAACTATCTTATTTTTTTTTAGTTTTCTATTTACAGCAGGGACAGTTTTCAAGAAGCTGCAATGATCCTTTGCTCTGGCATGTCTCTGGCTGCACTGAGTCCCTCTGTAATGTCTCAGCTGGCCCTACCTCTGCCCAGGACTGGCATTTCAGTGCCACTCCCTTGCATCTGTTTGCGGCCCCTTGGTTCACACCCATTGGGCTGACATCTCCTCAGATTACTGGGCTAGGATGGCTTTCCAGAGTTAATACATGTGTCTGGAATTACAGCAGAGTCATACAAAATCACTACATTGTAAGTTGTTTGAATTAAGCATTTTGTGTAATGCTTTTTCTCCCCCTCTCTTTTCTCAAGTCCTATTTTTGAAGAAGACACACCCTCTGTTATGGAGATAGAAATGGAAGAGCTTGATAAATGGATGAACAGCATGAACAAAAATGGTACACGGTAACCCCTCCACTCCATCCTCCCTCTCTTGCCTGCTGACATAGAGCCCATGCATAGGAAATCAATGGAAGGTGTTTTGTATGCATATCACTGCTTTCCCTACAACATTTTTAGTTGTGCTCTTGACTCCCTCCTACTAAAATAACTGAACAAATGTCAGGGGTAGATTTTTTCAGAGGAGTATTTTCGTTTGTGTAGGAGTTTATTTTTAATAGGTGATAGAATCCCATAAATGTTTTCAGTTTCCAGTAGACATTTCTATTAAACACACTTATAAGCTGTGAATGTTATTTATATTTTTAAATACACATTTTAATGCTAAATACTAGTTTCTCTGAAGCATCTAATCCTTTCAGTCTCCAGAATTTCTACACTTTTGTGCTCCACACTGAGGTATTGTAGAAGAAATATGCATTTGCTCATAGTTCAGATCACATTTTATTTAAAATTGCTGCCAGGAACCTATGAATGCGCCCTTCTGCTCCCTTGCAAGGCCATCACCACATGGAGCAATTAGAACATGTGGTAACTACCAGCAGCAGAATCTTCAGCTGCCTTCTCAGCTATATATATATTATAAGTACCTTGCATTTTCCCCACATTTTTCTCCCAGGTGAATTCCCCAGTAAAAATCTCTAAGGGGTCTGCATTGTCCTTCCAGGGTCTCCTCAAAAAATGCAGGTCTTCAGTAAGCCATGAGTTAATCAAGGCCTGATTTTGAGCCATGAACAGCTTTTCACTGGCTAAGAAATGCTGAAACACTGATATTTTTTTTTCATTCCTGGTCCCTTGCCTTCCATCCATGTGGCTCATTTGCCTGACCTAATAGGCATGCTTTGTTTTTCAGGACATAAAGCTCTTGGAGCATTTCTTTGCGTTAGCACAGTGCTCCACAAGATGGGGTTTTGACCTTCGCGGTCTGAAAGCTCTTGCAGAAAACATGTGCTAAGTGGCAGTAGTGAAAGAGAGGCATTAACTGTACTGCATGGGAAAATGGTGTAAAATATAGTTAAAATTTTTGTGGAGAGAAAGGACCAAATATTTTACATACTTTCATGTGTGTGTGCATGTGTGTGTTAGTGTTCCCTAAACTCCAGCTCCAAACTTCCAGCTGGACAATAAAGCACAGATGCAACTGCCAGCAGTGGAAGATTAACAAACAACTCTCCCTGTGGCAGTGTGCAGGAGACAGTGCTAAGGAGTAGCTCATTCGTGTAGGTCTACATAAAGAGCTGGAACATATAAAATAAATAAATTGTGGCAACACCTATCAAAGGGAAGGAGGTACAAGATTCATGCTAGGGGAACCATGCAGATAAAAGGGTGCAGAAGTGCATCTGCAGATCTGTATTCTAGAGTGACTGCATGATAAAAGTTTATGCATTTTTGAAATAAATGTAGAACAACTGCCAGGGTAGAGTAACTGTATTCTTGTTTCTTATCCTTTTCCAGGTGACTGTGAATGTTTACCTACTGTAAGAGAAGAAGAAAAAGAATCAATTGCCAACCCAAGGTACTTTAATTCATACTATTATTTGAAGAAATACGGTCAGTGTTATTCTAAATTTTTTTTGTGTGTAATAATATAATAATTCTTTGGTCCATTTAAGTTTTTAATTTTTTATATATAGAAATTTGACTTCAACTTAAACTAGAGGCTTGACACTCTTATTTCTAAACAGGTCTCTTCCTGTAAACTGCCCTGCTAAATAATCTTACGGTTGTAAAATGGTGCAAGACAGACAAGCAGATGGCACAGATGGAGTTTCATTCACTGATCAGACTTTAATCACAGTTTCCCAAGGTGTTAATACAAGCATTCAGCGTAGCTTCCTTGGCACCCCTCACCAAAAGCACCCAGTTCCCCTCTGCCACCTGGTGCCTATAGGTTTTTGGGAATCACTGCCAGATGTTTTGGCTGGAGCTGTGACCTGACAAACAGGAACTTGTCTGACTCCAAGCAAAAAATGAGAATGAGAAACATGAAGGATCTTCCCGGTGCCCCCTTGCAGCACTCCCCCAGAGCTGGCACTAGTTGATAATTCAAGCAGAGATCCCAGTGGGATGCAAAACCACAATCCTGACAGCTTGCAAACTTAAAATCTTTCTGGTTGGTTTCCTCAGGATTTTGCCCAGGACTCCAAAACCCATCTCAATTTTCCCTAATTAAAAATTCTGGTGCTTGTTTCCAGCTGGAAACAAGAGGCTGCACATTGCCCTTGCTTGCACCCTTGTGTTGCAGCTGCATTTTGAGGAGTGGGCAAAGCAGCTTCTCTGTGCCAGGCTATGATAACAAACAAGCCATCCTGTGTGCCAAGAAATCCCTGGTGCAGTGGAAGCAGTGATGCAATCAGGCAATGCCAGGAGCAGAGGGAGGACCTAGGTCTTTGCTTCCCATGGCATCAGATAATTTCACTGACCATGCCTCTCTGGCAGAATTGCACCTCCCGCTGTAGACTGTCATAATATTACAATCCTCATTTCTGAATTTCCTTGCCTAGGAGTGAAATAGGGATGTTAAAACCCCACTGTTGCAGAGTTTGCAGCTCAGGTGCTTCAAAGCTGCAGTTTCAGAGGAACCTTTGGATGGAGCTTGTCCACTTGTACAGAAATGGTTTCTTTTTACACCTATTGCAAGTGAAATCAATGTTCTTGTTTTAGTTCAGTTTTGTTGGAAAAAATAAAAAAGGCTTAGATCCTAGATTCCAGATGCAAGCAAGCACATTAATTTTACCCTTAGAAACTGGAAAATATCCTGGATTTGTTAGCCGTTTGACACCATCTGAGTCTTCCCTTCCTGCTGCTGAATAATAACTCAGAGCGGGTAAAATTGTTAAGCAGAGGCAGCTGCACAGCAGTCCTCTAAAAGCAGATTTTCTGAGCATACCACTGACTATAGCAGGGAGTACAGCACAAAAGATGCTTCAGCCATCGGCTAACACTGGCAGAAGTCCTTTGTAAAGGCTTTTTAGGCACAACACCACCCTTAGCATCAAGTTTACTTTCCAAATCTTTAACAATTCATGTTAAGGGAAAAAAATCATCATGGCCAACCTAATCATCTGCTTGAGCTGACATTTCACCATCCTTGCTAAAGGAGTGGTTTTGTACTGGATTTGCATTAACCTCATCAGAACAAGGGGATTTTTGCTCCTGGCTATCAAAAGGCATCTTTGGGCTACACCCTACCTCAAGCTCCCCACGTGTAAAACAGAGCTATTTTAGAACACTACAGTGAGGCTTAAGCCTTGATACAAAAAAACAACCCTGTTCAGATAAATATGCTTCAGTCAGAGCAAAGGGTATTAAGCAAATATTTAAGCAATTTTTCTTGTGAATGGATCTTAGAATCAGACTAGATTAGAGAAATTTATGCTTTAAATTATAGAAAGGGAAAAAAATGCAAATAAAAATAGGAGATTTATCTCTAAAACATTCAGAGCTACTCAGACAAGGGACATTAGTTGAATACAAAGTGCAAGAGCATTAAATTCAATTTAAGATTCTGAAAGACTACTTTGGGCAAAATTCTTCTAAAATTAGGGTAATTTATATTTTAGATTTTATTGGTATTTCGGTACGGGAAATATCTCAGGCCACACTGAACACAGATGGCTTTTTTTTGCTTCACAAAGATGCTGATGGGTAGTTCATCAAGACCCAAATGTCTTGAACTATGAATTATTCTGACACAATTCTGAAAACATATGAGACAAAACATTTCAATAATGACACTTTAACATTTTCAGAATGATGGTTGTTCCAAAACTAGTCTTCAGAGTAAGTGAATTTTTAACATAATTTTTTTTTAATGTTTGATGAGCAGAACTTTGTGGCAGTAGAATATTTTTATGTTGAATGTTTCCCTTACCCCAAGGCTACTTCTTCAAATTTCATGTCACATGAAATTTTGAAATTGCTTCATTTCAAATTGAAAAAAAATATTTGAAGTGGTGGGATTTCTGGGTAAACAAACAAAAAATTGCTTCCTGTTTATTTGCAATTGAACCTTAACAGTCTAAGATCTGCTGCTTTTCCCAACCAAATTCTTAGATGAATAAATAATGTCAGAAAGAGAATTACATACAGATAAATAGATGTTTTCAGCAGCTCTTTTGAGCAGGGAAAGTGGAAGACTAATAAATAAAATGAAACAAAGCTATAATTATGGCAAAAATTGTACTCATGAGCATCAAACCTGCACATTTGTGCATAGGGGGCAAGATATAACAGCCTGGGCTCCCTGATAGGGGGAGGTCACTTACCATGGCCTTGTAGGCTAAGTTACAAACATATGTATATACACATTTTTCAAAATTTATATACACTTTTCAAAATACATATATTATAATCAAAACCTCTTGCATTTGAAACCTACTGCTAGAATCCTGATTGTGCCTGAGCACAGAATTGCACCCCACAGGTGCCTGGGGCCAGGGCTCCCATCCTGTGCATGCAGGAGGGAGCAGGCAGTGTGTGCAGGGGCAGTAGGCAAGGGCTGATGACCTGTGAGGCACAAGGTGGGTAGAGACCAATCTCTGCTCCAGGGACCTTTACTGTTCCAGAAAAATAAGTGCAGCCTGTCCCCTTCACAGCATGGGCCATTGTAGGGGGTGGAGTACAAGCAATCCCCCTATGCTTTATCACCTGAGAGGTTTGGTTTGTCATGGGTGCTGCTGGGCACCCTCCTAGTCTTTCTGTCTGAAAAAGTATGACTTCTTCTGACTCTAAAAAGTGTGTAGGAATGTTTTGGGTGGATGATAGGCCAGTACAGAAAGAAGTACTACATTCCCAGAATGTGCCTCAATTTGGCAAGAGACTTAAGGAAACATGTAAAATATTAAGATTATGAGTGGCCCTTTTAGCTTCAGAGCTGGCTATCCCTGCTGACTGAATTTAAATCAGCCAATATAAGATGTCACATTTTTTAACATTGGCATGAGCCAAACATTATTAAGAGAGTGCTAGTCAGTAAGCCACTTGGGCAGAAACCAGTGGGACAAAGAGGAAATACACTTGTTATGAGGTCAGCTGTAAACAAAAAATTTCAAAGTTATCCTCAGCTGTGGAAAGAGAGCCAGGAGCAGGAGAAAGACTGGGCTGGGCAGCCATGAACCATCAGACAGGTATCAGAGCAGCCCTTGCTGCCAGCATCGGCATCCATTACATGAGTGACAGATTTATTTTCTGGTAACACCTTTTCATGAACCTTAGAGATATTTTTGCATGATAGTTCCTGCTGAGACAACTAACCTAACAGCATGACACTGGTGTATTTTTCTTTTCCATGTGTATACACAGTGATGGTGAATCATGAAGTCCTCACGACACCAAAGAACTGGCTAAAGGGATGCAGCACATAAGCTCATCATCCCCCAGATATTGGAAGAACTGGATTTAAATAATAATAATTCATCTCAAAAGGCCAGAGAAGCAAATGTTTTTGTTGTATCCTGCTTTGTATGGTCTTCAGAAAGGAAACATCACCAAGGGAAAAAAAGAAAATGAAAAGAAGAAAAAAAAAGAAAAAAAAAAAAAAAAAAAGCACTATAGGACTGATTTAATTAAGGACTGATTTAAATTATTTTTGCAATGAGATTCACCACAAATCAAGAGAAACCTCTTCTTTACCCCTGCTGAAAGTTCTCAAAGTAGTCCATATTTCTGTCTAGTTCCACGGCTGTGCATTGTCCAGCACTTAAAACCAATTCTCTTGCAGTGGTGGGTCAGTGGTGGGTCTCTTTGTTTTGGTTTGGTTTTGTGGGCGTTTGTTTCAGTGTCCATAATTCTGGACTGCCCTGGTTTGATGGATGTGAAGCTCATGTCTATGCAATGTTTATTTCTCAATTTGCTTTTTCTGAGCAGTGCACTGATTTGCACAGGACTGCTGTTGGGGAGGTACCAGGCTAGGACTGACAGACCAGCTCTGAGGACAGACAGCAGCTGTAAAGCCTCTCAAAGGAATAGCCAGAAGTGACTGCAGCCCAGCCAGGGCACAGACTCTGTAGAGTGCTTTTTGGTTTTCAGATTAAAGGCACTGTAGAAGTGAAAAGTATTATTTTGAGGCTGCCTTTCAGTTTGTTTTCTCCACAGATGAGGGCCCTGGGCTAGCTCTCCCTGTGTAACTCTTCTCCCTGCCCAGGGCTGTTCTCTAACCACCTACTTCAGAAATATTCAAATTAAAAATATTTCTTTTTTAAAAAAAAAAGAGTGAGGTTGAAAAATTGAACAATTCAGTATTCACATAAAATACAGATTTAAATAAGTATGTGTTATGCATAACTACTTGGTCAAGGTTTTCAGAAACAGGAGGTTTTCTGCTGCTTCTGTTTTTAAATGCTGAGCCTGCAATATCTGAAAGACAAGGAATTCTGAGTGTGACCGGTCACTTTTAGTCACAATGAAAAAAATCAGATTCCTGGGATACCTCAAGGTGGGAATATGAATGTTGTAACTGTGCCCACTGATTTTAGATAGCATGTCTCTTAGGGATATAGCTTAAATATGTAATACACATAAAAGTGGATCCTTATCTGGGCAAAGTTTCTCTTGCCTTATTTAAAATTGTAGATTCATATCCTACCATATCTTATATCCTCCCTATCCTCATATTCTATTTAAATATATAATGCCTTCCCACTCCATACATGTTTAATATGATCAGATTTTTTGCCTGCAAATAATTCACTAAGAAGTTACCATGCATAACTTGATTAAAGATGGAAAACAAATACCCAAATACCCCAATAATAGGAGTCCTTGCTGTTCTTTTTTTTTTCCCTTGCTTTTGAAAATGAACCAACTCCCAAAGGTGACATTGTACGGTTTAACTCAATTCTGGCACACTGGTGACCCATCACCCTGTCTGAGCCACACATTGACAGCAGTGCAATGCACCAACTCAGTTTCCTGTGGCATTTGAAAAGAGCCTGTGCTGTGCATGTTGATGGTTTGGGGTTAATGTTAATTCTAGATGTCCTTCTGCCAGATAAAAGGCTGTACAGTTCCAAATAAGTTTCTCACAGATAAAGTTTCACTTATATATTTTCTTTTTCAAGTTTACCTTGAGAGAATGTATTTTCTGTAAAGTTATGACATCAAGCACTAATTCTTATTCCAGTGTTCATGATTGATCAATCTCTATACAAAGCTTTAGAATCAATTTTGTCCAGAACTAATGTCTAGGTTCAAGATTTATAATTATTCATGTCACTTAGCCTCTCTAAATTATGGCAGGCTAGAGAATTTATTTGCCTCTTCAGGAACTTTTTTCAGCATTTAAAAAATACAAAACAATGCTTTGGGCACTTTCTTGGCTAATTCTGACAGAAATTTTCTCTATCTGCTGATTTTTAAAAATGGAAACAATATAAGCTGTGTTACTATTGAAAAATGTACCACTCCCTCAAATCTCACCTGTCATTAGGTCCTGTCCTCATGTGAAACAGACTGAGGGTAAAGCATTTCAGTATAATTATGTATATTTCTAATAGATTCCCTCAGTACTAGAGAAATACAATTTTTAGTATTTCTCTTTTTCTTGAACATTCATACATCACTGCTATCCTCCCCCTATCCCTAAACTATGGAGGGGATCACTCATGTATCTGATTCCCCAGCCCAGCTCCGCACTGCTCCGTTCCACCCCACTGGTCTGTCTCTCTGCTCCCAACTTTCACACTGAGGGCTGGATTTGCCACAGCCACTGCCCAGCACCTGCTCACTCGCTTACAGCCAAGTCTTTCAGTGGCCACTGTGTTCAGGGGTGCTGCTGCACCATGGGCTCTGCTTTGGCCCCTCTCCTCCCTCACCCCATTTGGTATTTCCCTCTTCTGCTCGCCCGTGTGCCCCTTGCTCTCCTGTTTGTTTTACCTTTTCGTCAGCTTCCTTATGCAGTTTTGCCTCAGTACTTTAATTTTGTGGGTGGATTGAAGTACAGGGGATTCAGACCATTCTATGCCTACATTAATACTGCCAAAACATTATAATATTCCAGTTCATGAGTATTATTAACTGTACACCTTCTGTTGATGCACCTTCATTTTCCCTAAAAAGTGTTTTTCACACAGTCAGTTCCTCTAACCCACAAAATAAAAAGGAGAGCCACCAGACAGCAGATAAGATAGCATCGAATTCTCAAAATTATTTTATCACCATGCACTACAGAGTATTTAAGCCTCTGTGGTAATAGCCATCGTTAACCTGATCTGAGCCAACCCATCTCACCATCGCCTTGCAACATCTCCCAGTAACTGATAAGTTATCATCCCTCCATAGAAAATGAGAAAAAACATGGAAACAAAAGTGCCTCCCACTAAGTGTTCTTCTAAAATGTTTCACAAATGTGATGATCCCTAAGGAACTGCTACCTCTTCTTCCATTTTCTTCAATAATTTCAGCAGTTATCCAGCACTTCAAGACAATTTGACATCTTATTTACAGCATGAGGCCTTTTTGTCCTGCAGAAAAGCTACAGACTCAAAGGAGGATTTGTTTGAGAAATACACAGGTAATAAGACGGGTAATTTAAAAACAAGACCTCTCCTAGGTATGCTAAAAATCAGTATCTTAACAAAATAGAAATAACTCCTCTATAGAGTTACAAACATAAGGTTGCTGATATTACCAGCAGCTAATTAATTCCCTAAAATTATGCATCTGTAAAGCACATAACCCTAACATTAACCTCAGCAAAAAGGAATATTCTTTTAGTTTCTAGATAATTGTAAGTTATAGAGTCATAGATAACTCTTGGTCTGAGATTAAAAAAATAAATTTTTTGTAATGCTAGATTCATTGGGGAGCATAAATTGAACTTTTGTCACCTTTCTGATGTGTGACTGCTGTATATTCAACTGTTTTATCAAATAGCTGTTTCAAATTACTTTGTAATGTAAATATTTAAAAGACACAATGTTACTTGATTGTATATAAGAGTTTGAGATTTTAAACAGCTTGTTCTAATAAAGATTTTAGTGTCTACAGGTTCTGTTTTTTCCATAGTCCTGCTAATCCACTGAAGTCTATGGATGCTAATTACTTGCTATTGATACCACAATTACTCAGGCCTGAAAAGATATGCACAGCTGTTACATAGATATATATCTTAGATATATATGGTACATAGATATTTTACTCTTGTCAGCTCTCTAAAATTCAGGCAAAGCAAAAAAAAAAGCTGCTTTATATTTCATTATGTTTTTGTTGGGATATTTCAGATTGTTTATATCAATAGATATAAACAGAGAAAGTAGTGAATTACTCTCATGATTTATTCTTGGGTGACTGTTGCCATCTTTTTTTAATGACAGTCATTTCTCAGGTTATTTCAGTTAAAACACTCAAATGGGAGTCTCCACATTGATAGACCTGCTAAAGTAATTTTCAGTGGATTTAAAGGAAAAGAAAGATAAAAGATTAAAAAGAGACATGTATTTCCAACTAGAAAATTAGAAAATATTAATAAAGCATTAGTTTCATCTATTTTTTACAACAGACAATTTCATTAGAGAGGTGTATAATGGCCTGGGAGTATCCAGAAAGCTTGAGACAGCGTTTATTCTATTTAATGCTCTTAATGTTCAAACAACCTCAGTACAAGAGCTTCATAGCAATGCCAAGGCAGAAACCAGTCACCTCTTTCTCTCTATTTCCTAGACAGCACAACAGCAAGACACTTGTCTAATGTACAGGCTTAGAAATCTGCATTTTGGGGCTATGCTTGTTCAGTTCTCAAGGGAGGTGCAAAAGAGGACTTGACTACGAAGTCATGGAAAGTGCTGTGACTCTTTAGGGAGTAACACACTCTCCTGCCCCAGACACTTGCTCTTGCCCCAGTCTGCCTCTCCTAGTACCATGATGCTGACCCACAGCACAGGGGCTCCTCAAATGTGCACTAAACAGAGGCTGGAAGGGGTCGTGGGAGACCTGGCTTGGCAGGGGATTTGAGGGGTGAGCAAAGGACACATTCTGCACCAACATTATCAGCAACAAACATGGTAATACATCCCAAGCACTTACTCTCTGTTTTGGCTTTAAGAATGGTTAAAGTTGTACTTTCTGTGAATATCAGTGACAAGAAAACAGTAACGGCATGGTCTGACACCACAGCACTGGCTGCAGACTCCTATTCCCTTCCAATGAGGTTGCTCCAGGTCTGGCTTTGTACTGGATCAGTCCTCTGGCCTCATTTTGAGTAGGATCTCACAAATCCAGTAAACTATTATAAACAGGTGAATTTCGCACCAAAGCAGCGTCTTTCCAGACAGTGGCTGAAATGTCGCCCAGCACTCAGAAAAGGAGTTATTTTGGATGCCCAGCTCTCATTAAAGGAGCGTTTTTGGTTTGCTGGGGTCTCTCCCAGCCGTATCTCGGCTCCGGGCACCCACTTTGCTCTGCCTAGGTGCCCGAAACGCTACCGTGACTGCCACCCCCAGGAGGCAGTCCTGACCTGCAGCTGCAGAAACGCATCTCCTGCACGGAACCCTGACTCCTGTTACCGAGAGAAGGAG